AGTCACTTTGTGATCTGCAGCTGCAGGAATCTTTGCATGTATTGCTGCTAAACTAGTGTTCTAGCTCTCTCATATTTTCTATAGACCACACTCTAACAGAAAAGTATGCCTTAAGTTTCTCAATCTGAAAGTAATGCTAGCTATTCTTAAACTAACCCATGAGTTGTGGCATAGTAGCTTGTCTGTGAGAAAGAAGGGGCGTCCTGGGGGATTATGCTTAGCAGTTGTATACGTGGATTAGTTTTTGCATGTGGTTGCTAGTTCCAGATATTTTTAGTATATGGTTGTAGGAAATAGATTGTCTAAATCTGCGTTCACAATATTTCTGAGAAATGTATCCCCCCACAGAAATACATGAGACTGCCCATTGGAGTCTTCATGCAATTTCTTACTTGTGACTTTGAAGTTTCCTTCTTTAGGAGAATCCAATATTTTGTATCTAGTTTTGAACTGTCAAGAGCCTTGTCTGACTGATTATAAAAGTTGACCCATAATGATTTTTCTTCATAGTTTTTTAGTGTGACAGCCAAACCAGGATATCACTTGCCCATTGCAGAAGTACTATGACAAACCTGTCCTACTAGCAACAGCAGTTGGACCTCAGTATTTTCTGCTCATTATCTTGGTGAAACTCATGAGAATGGTGATACGTGCAGAATCTGTCAAATAGATAACAGCAGTATGTGAACAGCATATAATATAACAGCATAGAATTCAGAAAATGTGTGGGCAGGAGCAAAAGAAACTATTTAGGCAAGTTTACCTCAGTAAAAATTAAAAGAACAAATTTTCAGTCCAGATTTATAAGCAATTTATTTCTGTCTCTCTTACCTAATAGTACCTAATAGCTTAGTTCCAAATCTTTCTCTCTTGTGATAACAATTTTTATTTTTATAAGCATAAAACCTCAGTTCATGCTTCAAACAGAGTAAGAGATATTTTAAGGACACTGAAGTTGCATCCTCTGCTTCTGGGTCACTACACCCACACTGAGAAAGGAAAGTCTGTTGTCTTCCATGCTGCATGTCCCTTGGAGCCCTGTGCTTTTAATACATGGGCCTAATGCCAAGGTTGGTACTGCAGCAGCAGCAAAAATGGAGCAACTTGCCATGGGACTTCTGCAAGGAGGGATGTGTCACAGGAAGTTATTGCTTTGTGCATTTCCTCTCCTTTCTTTTCCATCCAGTGTCTATCTTCTGCTATAAAAATATCTTTGTATTTTTCTAAACTTGTTCCATGTGCCTGGTAAATCTGCAGTTGTGGGAGCAGAGCTTCCCTTCCCAACAGTGAATGGATGCCAGTGTAGTAGTGTGAGAGAGAGACTGATTTTACATTAAAGTGTCAGTTGTCTGAAACTGCAGCAGAATCGGTTGAAAGCACCTAATCTGACCATGCTGTTGATACCTATAGAATGTCTCAACTTATCTCCTAGCGATTTCTCCAAGCCCTAGATTGCCAAGAAAGGGACCTTGTAAGCAATAGGTGCGTATATAGCATATATAGGAAACCCATAAATATATTTGGCTGAACGTTTGCTTCCAGTAAATAGATGCATATAGACTTCTCTTATAGGCTGGAATATGCTGCAGTGTTTCTGCTGCTTTTTCTTTACTACAGTTCATTAAAACTAAGAATACAGGCATGCATGTTAAAGGAGTGGTTTTTCTTTTAATAGCATTGTTTTACACTCCCACAGCAAGTGTGAAGCATCAGTTAATGATCTTTGGAGGAGATCTATGCATACATAATAAAACATTGTATTTCTTAATGCTTCCATTTTCTGCCCCAAACTGTGCCATGTGATTGCATCCTATTAAACAATTGATATTAAAATAATCTGTTTATCCTTCTGTTATAACCTACAAGATTATTGTGATAAGTACCTGGAATGAATCACCAGGCTATCACTAGATTTTTCATTTGATTTAGAATTTTCTTTATTTCAACTTTATTTCAAGAGCAAGCTGCTAACAGGACCTCGTGAACATGGTTTAAAAGAAATTATGTGGACATTAGTATTAGAGTAATATACAGAAAACTTCCATATAGGGAAGCTATACTTGATAGGCAAATTGTTACACTTATTAATGAAGGCATAGAAGAGTCTAATGCTAAAGCTTGCTGAATGGCAGTGAGTGGTATTACTATTCCAGCCTTGTTTCCATTTTATAGGATTCTAGATAAGTCAATTTATCTTTTTAATATTTTAAACAAGTTTTGGAGGGGAAAAAAAACTTGTATGGTTTTTCTGGTTTTGTAACATGATTTTTCAACATCTTAGTTCTTTTAAAAAAAGACTTTTTGTTTAATGAAAACTACTTTCAGTCGTAATGCTTTCCTGAGTAGCTGAATCATGCTGTTCATACAGTTACCCTACTCTAAACGATCCAAATGTGCCACAGCACCCTGTTTCTTCAAAACATGGGAGGAGAGAGGAACTAACGTGAGAACAAGGGACCGTTCTGCTTTAATCTACAGGGTTTAAGAGCAAGGAGCTCTGAATTTATTGGGGACAGCATCAGGGCTGCTGCTTGTTTCGCTACAGTCAAGGTTTCACCCATTCCTCAGCGGTTTAGTAGGTAGTGTGGAACTTCACCACATCCCGCCAGCGTCTGAGCTTATGCATAGGAAATAGGTCTGCATTGTGCAAACATATTGTCCATTGTAGACAAAATAATGTACACTCAGCTTTGCAGTTTCAAAATCTAATGAACAGTATCTCATTAAAAGTAAGGTTTAATCAAACCTTTCTATAAAATGTGATATCATCTTTTGCTGTGTTTTTCTCCTGCCTGAAGTTTATCTAGTACGTGGGCCTCTTCTTTTACATTTAAACTGATAGAGTCTTTTCTTCAGTAGGCAACATATCCTTCTTATGCTTATATAGAAATTTCAAAGGCAAATCAGAGGGACAAGTGTTTCCATTTTCTACAACTAATTACTTTTCACAGCAACAAAAACTATGATCCTGAATGATAATACTGTCTTCTACTTGAATGTCATAATGAAACACTTCTGTTGTTTTTCAACAGAGCAGAAACAGACTTCTTAGAAGTAAGGTTAAAGTTATTCACAACTACAGTTTTCAATATCGATAGTATCATTAACTATAGAATGTTCATTAGTGTCACCTGCTAATCTAATTACCATTTATGTTAATTGCCATTCTTCTGTTTTTTGAAAGCCTCTTTTTAGAAAATTCTTATTTCCACATTTATAATAGATAAACATGTATGTAGAGACATATGGACAGATATGTACAAGAGGCAGAAATTGTTCATTTCTGATCCGAACTTATGTATTTGAATGTAAATTAATACCCTTTATTCTAAACTTGTAAATTTATATATAAAGCTCATTTTCATATAGTGTATTGCTACATGATTTTTTAAGTTCCATCTTAAAAAAAGTGAAATATTTAGCTAAATTTGCCAACCTATACTTTCTTTTCATTTGGGGGTTTTTGTATCTTTTTTGTATATTTGTTGTAATCTGACATCAGAAAAATCCCCTTATCTAGCTTTCCTGTAGTCAAATGTAAGGGCATAAGGAATACAAAACAAAGACAATTTTTAGGATTTTGTTAAGATTCATGTTTAGCTCAGTGTGGACAAAAATGCAAAAAGAAACATTTTCTTATCTATTCCTGGTACATTAGAAAAGTTCATGCCCTGCTCTTAGCATTTTCCAACACAGCTGTAGAGTAGTTTAAAGCCTATTTTTTAAATAAGTGATGCTCAATTTGTCTTTGATGATCCGCATGATTCAGGTGAGATGGGAGCACGGTCAGGCCCTTATTTGCATAAAAATTAATCACAGAAAAATGTAAATTGATAAAATTTTGCCTGGCTTTTCCCCCCTATTCGAGAACCCATGGATGGCTCCCAGAAGCAATCATCTCAGTATGGTGCCGCATTGGATGCTACACAAATGATCACATTTGTGTTGAATACTCACTCATTTAAATGTCAGCACTGATGGGGCGGTACATCACTAGAAAAAATGAAAAATAAATACACAGCAGCTGAAGACTATCAAATCTGTGGGCACTCTTTAGAGGTATATGATCTAATGTGAAAAAATTGTACATTAATTATCCTTTTTCAAGATGGTAATTGTTTTAGTATCACATCAGAAAAAAATCTGCAATTTATTTGGAATCAAACAAAAAGCAGTAATGTTAAATACGTCATTACATCATTGTGTTTATTAGAAGGCTACAATTAATTCCTAAGGCTCCTTTCGTCTCCAGAACTGAATAAAATGAAACAAAAGAACATTAGTATTCATTTTTGAGCACATTCTAGTCCTGCAAATAATTTACCAGGCAAAAATAAGGTAGAAAAATAATGAAAAAGATATATTGCACATAAAAATGCAGAGTTTGTTCTTTTGGAATTTTTGCTAAATGATATGGTCTTATAGCATTACTGTGGTGTCTCACAAGCCGTAATGAATTTGGCTTGTTTCTGAAGGGTAGAAATTATTCACCTTAACTCATAGATGTGCAAGTGAAACATATAAGAGAGGAGGGAATAAAAAGTTCCTGTGAGTAGACATTATAGAATCCAGCCTGTTTTGTAATTCTGTATTAGAGAGCAAACCTTGCTTCTGCTTGGTTCCTTATAATAAAAGAAAAATCATACAGGATAGTAAGTAAACTGGACACTCTGATTATGGCTGCACTTGGTACTCCTGAGCTAAATCCAGCATAAAGGCAAAAACCTTCTGTCTTCAGGAATCCATCTCTAGAAAATTATAGCAATACAAGGACTTGTGTAATTTATAATCATCTGCAATGATTAGCTACAGTGAGTTAGATGAGAGCATTAGATCTTCGGGGGCTGGAATAGCAATATAGCATGAGTCTGAACAAAATGGACAAATTTAAACAGCCATTTGTTATACTTGCTTTGTAGAGATTTGAATATTAGGCAGTTTTCACTGTCAAAATCAACATTGTAGCTAAATAAAATTGTTTTGCTTCCTTTTTGTTTTTTAGCTGTAAGGACCTGGCAATTGTTGGATATGGGAATTCCCAAGTAAGTACCCCACTTTAATTCACACACCTTCCATCCTTTTTACTGTGGTAGTGCATGCAAAAATGTGTCTAACACAGCTTGGAAAAAAACTTTCCATCATTTCACAAACCTAGATCTGAGTTTTCACGACTACATTAAATGCAGAGCAAAAATACTGTTGATAAAGTAATATATTTCAATTTGTGTCTTTTGTTGTTAAAGTTCTGGATTCAAATGCTGCTTTCTTAAAAATCAGTGGGAGTTTTGCCAGTGATTTCCAGTACAGCAAGAAATTCACTAATGGTGCGTATGTATTTTTTGAAAAGCTAAGGTCAAAGTTTGCGTGTGAGCATAATTTATATACTCACATTTATATACAGCATTTATATACTGTAAATGATGCTGTGCTGGAACAGAATATATGATTAATGAAGGAGGTTTATATGGTATTTAAAAATAAGACACGTGAGAGTGTTAACTTAGGGTTTTCTCTTGTCAGAGGTTTTGAAAAGACTGTTCTGATAGAAATGTAAGTCTGGAACAGAAGATACTTTTTCTTATGTGCAGGGCCTGTAAGAGAATGAAAAGTCCAAAATGCTTTGTAATGTACTTGGTACTTCACTGAATATTCTAGAAAGAATTTAGAGACTTACTTATGGGCAACGTAAATACCAAATACGTACAAAACTTGGGGCTGATAGTGGAAAGGAAGTGTTAGTGTTTACATTAGTTTTCATTGAACTGCTATATTTTATAAATGTTAAACTTAACACTTAAATTTGAAGAAGTGGCCTGACTCTGGTGTGTAAATTTTGGTACATTTTATTATTTGAAGCCTAGTGCAAAAAGTGACTGGATTTTCCAGAGGTCTAGGCAATTATATTTATAGTGACTCTTGGCTACTTCCCTCGAAGTTTTGAAAACATCTGTTTCACATTCTTGAAATGAAAGATGGTCATCGTTCATAAATAAGCAAACAGATTCCCTGATCAAATAGGGACTGTGGCAATGAAGAATTGCTGTAAATGAATAAACAATGCAGTTAATATGTACCAGAATACTTATTAGACTTAATAGATTTTTTCTAAACTACACAACCCAACATTTAAACCCCAAATCAAATTTTTGGTAATATATAGTCCAAATTTATGAATTATGGAACATATTGATTCATGAAAATGCAGATTTAAGAGAAGAACCTAGATTTTTCTATTGATTTGCTAAGCATCAAAGATTAAAATGAGTGTAAGCTGGTGGTAAAATGCACAGGAAGGATAGTCTGGAAGTTTCTTAATTTTCATCACAAAAAAATCTATAAGCAGTCACCTTGCATCTCCTTATGAGTATGCTTCGAGGTCCTCTGTACTTCCTCTTGTGTGTTCAGTTAGACCTAGGCTTTTGTCTCCAGGCTAGACATTAGTCCTGTCAAAATATGTTCAAGACATGGTCTCATTAAAAACTGGTTGGAGTCTTTTCATTTCCAAAATAGCTGGAAAATCTAAAATCCTTATTAGGTTATGAGTACTTAGACTGAATCAGGTGGAAACGTGTCAACATGGAAGTTACAAATTTCTGGCAGTAAGTTGTATTATAAATCATTTTTCTGAATTATGACCAGAGAGAGGTCAAAGTACTTGAACTAATTTCAGGCACTGACTTTGTGACCCTCAGACAGCTGGCACACTGATGCCACACAGCATCCAAAGGCACCAACCCTTCCAAAATTTTAGGCTGAAACATCTGGAAAGTGATTTCTTGGCATTTGCTTAGTTGCATGTAATTAGCTTCCCCTATTTATGTATTTTTGTATTTATGTATATTTTCCTTTTGTCCTTCTAACTAGTTCAAGTGACTTCATATGAAGGGACAGAATATGCTATCAATCATCACCCATGACTGACATGGGAACACTGCATCTGGCTAATAGGAGAGAGTTCTGTGGTAAGGGCAATCCGATATGCGATTGCAGGCCCGATGTATTGGGTTCATGTGGAGAAAATAAACCAGCACAAATGAGTTTTTTGTTCATTTTTATTTGCAGGACTTTCAAGAAGATTGACTGTTTTCAGAAAAGCAGAGGTGCCTATTTAATCAAGTACAAGTAAGTATTCTTTAGCTAAATAGGGAGCTATCACCAGGTAGATTTAAAAAAATGAATTAGGGATGTTTTTATGGCCAAAAGGTAAGTATAGTCAGAACTATAATTATTAAATAAATTTCACACATATTATGTCAGGAAGTAAAAGTCTGATAGTTTGTTTATAACTTATTTGTGATTTACATATGCATGCAGGTGTAAGAAAGAAAGATTCTGGGAGTCCTGGTAACTACACAAAGCTTGAGCAATTTTATTTTTGCTTTCTCTAAGAGATACTCAAAAAAAGAAAATTTGTTTATTCTGCAGTTGGTCTTGCACTGAAGAGGGAAATGAAAGAATGTTTGCTGACTGTAAGTGGGGTGCAGCAGCTGGGAAGACTGACATAGCAAGCGTTGTGCGAATCACTGTCTCCATCTAGTGCTGATGAAAAGATACTTCAAAAACCCCCATGATGACAGGGGACACAGCAAAGGTAGGTGATTCTGTAAGGGTATCATTTATTTCTTGCACATAATGCGTTTATTACAGATGCAGCCATTAATGCCATTATAGTTGAGAATGTCAGCTTTTCGTTTATAAAACACAATTTTCAGGGTTCAGAAGTTAGCTATAAAAATTCACCTAGTGTTGAAATTTGACAGACTAATAGCACATTCTGCAGACACCTTTTGGCATCTGCTGCAAATGTTCATTAACAATGGCACAAAAAACTTACTAGAAACTTCACAGAACCACAGAAAGGCTATTGAGTTTCTGGTTCACCCTCTTTACAGTGCTCCTAGGAACCCAATAAAAATAAAGATAAGGATCAATTTTCAGCTTGGTATGTAAATTAATGACTGGCTGATAGGTTATAGGCAGTGGTCTGAGTCAGGAGGATACTTGTGGCACTGCTCAGCGTAGTTTCAGTAGTTAAAACTGCCACAGCTTTGTAACAGTGAAATAAGCGACAAAGTTTTTTGTCTTTTTTTTTAAATATAACATTGGTTACACTAGTATCAGGATAAAATAAAAACTCTTGCACATTGTTTTGTGCGTGTTATCTTCACGTAACTGAGGTTCTTGCAACCTGACAGTCTGTGCTATCGGTCTGCTGTATATTTTAGGATGTTAAATATAGGAATAAGACCTGTATAGATTCTCTATTAATATGAGATTCAGCAAGTTAAATAAGGCTAAGTTTCGTTGTTTTAAATCAGACTCATTAGATATAGTTTTAATGTATTATATGTATATGTCAGTATACACAAGTAAACATAGTGAAAAACTTTTCAATCTGTCAAGTAACTTTCACATTCACAGTTACAGAATCAGGTGTAACAGTTCAGATCAAGCTTTTGAATTATATGTGAAAGGAGCATCCTGAACATCCCCTTCAGAATGGAGCTTGGACCTCGAACCTCAGAATCCAGAATTTTATCTCATTCAATACAATATCTCCAGAAAAAGAATGGAATAATTTTTAACTACTTAATCATCTTAGAATGTAATTTTTGAACTGTCAAAGAGATTCTAATGATGATTAAATACGTTTTCCAGATGGGCCATAAAGAACGAGGGGACAGCTAAACCAGGCTGGTAGAGACCTCCCAAAGGGGAGAATCCCGTGCAGAGCAAGTTAACCTACCTGTGGCCTCTCCTTAAAGATGGAAGACTTGAGGCGGTGAATAGCATAAAAAAGTAAATAACATAGGTAGCAGGTGGCATAGTTTATAGAGTAAATCTAGCAAAGCAGAGTAGATAGACTATGCTGTGCAGACCTACCATGTGAATGTTGCTGTTTGGCCACATCAATAATCTGATATTATAGCTCCGGAAGTTTCAGTGTTTAAAGAAGAAAAGCCTGTTCTCAGTCACACTGACATACTTGTTTTGGGTAGCAATCAGTAAGTACAACTCAGAGATTTTTAAGGTTGCATAGCTGAGCACTAAATGATGAAATTATATAACTACTAAATCTAGGGTTTTTTTTCAATAAAATAATTGATCAGGAATAGAATGAGAAGTTGTCATCTTCAGTAGGTTAATGTAATGTCAGGCTCTGTAGTTTTATTAGATGTCAGTGGCTTCACTGGTTTTGGAGCACATGTTTTGTCCCTGGCAGTGTAAGTTTGTTTGTTTCCATTACATCTATATGTAAGAATTTACATCTTCAGTTAGTAATTTGAATTGTGGGAAAATGGGCATTTTCACATGTGCTTACCAAAGCAACAAGAGCAATTTTTTAAATGCTTCCTTCTGAAAATGACCATTTTTATTTCCAAATAAAACAAGTACTATACTAAAAAATTACACAAGATTTTTTTCCCCCATGGTAAAAATACTATTCATGACATTGAGGAGGAAACAGCCCAAACTTGTTTGTGTATATTGAAAAAAAATGCATGTCATAAAATGAAAGGCTCTGTAAACATACAATGGCAAACAAAAAGAAGATAAAAGGTTTCTTTCCTATTGAGAGTTTTACATTAAATAGACAATATTACGTGTTACTGTTTTGTTGCTCAGATATGTAATACATTAGAGTAGGTGAAAGGACAAATCTTTTGTTAAATTCATAAATAATGTTTTAAGTTTTAAGCTATGGTAATTGAGTGATGTATAGAAATGTCATTAAATCAACAAATAGTTTTAAATATAAATGCACTATAAATACTTCAGCTTGATATATTGTAAGCTCTGTAAATTTAATGTGGTTCCTAAATTGTACCAGCTAGTTATCTGCAATTTTCTTTTTACTATTTTCTCTAAGTAGTTAAGAGGAAACTATCTTACAGTCTTAGTTTTATGAACAGCATAATTAATGTGAACTTGTGAAGAGCCAAGGAAAAATGAAAATCAGATAGACTGACATTCAGCATATTCAATTAAAGATGATGCAACTATGTAAAACAGTTAAATGAAGATGGTAATAAATATGTTTAAATACTTTTTGAAAAAGAGTATGCAAGTCGTGTCAAACTTGATCTAAAATACGCACATCCTTTCTAATAATATTCTTATCTGAGTGATGTTTCAGATTATGAAATTAGAAGGAAAATTCATCGAAAGATAATTAAACTATAATAAAGGATTTATAGTTATGCTTAATTTTTGCCAGTGAAAGCAGTGGAACACGTTTACAGTGTTTACAAAATGAAGACTAAAGGTAATAAATGTAGTGAAATACTACCTTTGAGACATAAATAGATATAGTGAAATACTACCTTTGAGACATAAAATATTTTTTCATATTCTGTGCTTCCAGTGTTCAGAAGCTAGAAATACTTTCTTTTTTTGCTAGTCTTTGTTCTTGGGCATCAGATGTCTCTGTTGTGTGTAAACATTTCCATATACCTGTATGAAGTTACTATATGACATGTTCTCTGTAACATGCTAATGCAAATAAAGCAGAAATTGTGAAGATCTGTTGGTATTAGCTTCATATTTCATTGCCAGGATTTTGCTTCTCCCCTTGAAAGGTTGCTGGTTCCTGACAGCCCTTCTCCCTGGAAGCCTCCAGTGCAGAAGTTTTACTGCCCCGTGCCTGTGCAGCTGCAGGCTGCAGCTCTGCCCTCCTGCGCTTACTCTTCCAGCTGCTGCGGTAGGTTTCCCACATCAGCTTAACCCACTGGGGTTGAGTTTGCAGTCGCATTGAGACAGGTCTAGCTCTAAGTCCATGATATTTTAACCAATGGCACTGCCTGCAAAAAGGCTTTTAGAATGTTGCTGTTGATCCCTGTGGGCGGGGACTGAAATTCTTGTGCATTTTGGGAAAAACAGAACATGGGAAAGGTGTTTGAAATGCTTGCAAAAGCCCCTGAATTCCTGATACAGTTTTCCCTGGCAGCAATTCCCTTACTCTGTATTAATGAACTCTTTTGACAGATGATTTAATGATGACCATGACTACCATCTTGTCAAAGGTCTTTGCGTCCAGACAATTAAATACACATCAACTCTTACATTGTTATTTAAATATCTCTAAGCAAAATGTAGAAAAACAGATTCATTAGATACATAGTATTTTAAATCAAAGAGATATAAAATACTTTTTCTGTTTTCATTGTATGTGACAAAAAGAGTTCATAATATGGAAAGATTTGATGTAAATCAAGTTTTTTATTGCTGTTGGGAGAGATGTTACATTTTGACCTTTCTTTTGAGATTTTTAGAACATTTGATGCTTTTGATAATACTTTAATATTACTTTCTTCACATTGATTAAATACACTTCATACATCGCTGAACAATGAGTAGCATTTGAATAAGACTGTCCACTGAACTGCCTGAAAAAATGATAAAGTAAAAAATTAATCTTCGAAGTAAAGTCAAGCCTGAAATTGAAATCTTTGACGCATACACTTCATAATTAGCTCACTCTGCTATATCTAAAATGCAAATATAGTGCTCTTAAAATAATTCAGATCTTCTTACATGGAGCATTAACAAATTATTTTAACTTATACGTCTCTGACTTTGAATTGTTCTAGAGCTTCTTGACTTTGTTTTTATTGTTAACAGTTGTTGAATTCTCTTTTTTTTAGAAAGTTACTTAAAGCTCTCCTCCTTGCCTCTGGTGTATTGCTGCACCATTGCTTTCCCCAGTAGGTCCACTTACGTATGAGGAGAAAAGCATTTCATAGAACATGTAGGGAATCGAGGCCTAAGGCTACACTCTTACACTAGGGTCTCCTGTAGCAAAACCCGCTGAAAAAGGTGCCCATTAGCACCTTTAGCAAGTGTCATTAGCCACTTGCTCCGTCTTCTGTTACTTTGCAACCATCCAGCTGTCTGAGAACTGCTCTGGAAATAGAGCAGTAAAGTGAGCCCATTTTAAATGAAAATCTAGGAATTTTTGGCTCGGATCATTTTCCTCAAATAGTTTACTTTGTGATCCATGAGCATTAAACAGACAGAAACAGGTGTTTGAGTGTGGGACAAAACTTTGTTGCTGTGCAGTGTGTTGTTGGCATTCTTTTGGTAGATATAATTTCCTATTTGCATTACTGAGACTATCTTGATGGATGTTTTCTGTGTGTTTTGAACTATGTATTTGTCAAAGACTGACAAATTGACTGACTTGTGTGGAATATTAATGCTATTTCTTGGAACATTGTTAACTTATTCAAATCTTAACTTTAAGTGCATGCAAATTCTGTATTAAGAAATTAGGTACCTTTTGCTTTTCTGGATTTTTTTTTCTAGATATCTTCCTCAGTATAGCCAGTCCATAGGCAGAAACTTGTCATAGTGAGTTTCTTTACAAATTTGTTAGCTAAATGCCCAAATGCCCAAATGACAGGAAAAAAAATGCTGCATATTTCAGTGTTGGCATCTTACTGTCTTACTGCAAGAATCAGGTCGCCACTAGATAATGTTGAAGGATGTATGATTTAATTTTCCATCACTAAGAGGGAAGAAGAGTATTCTCTTGATCTCTAATCTAAATGAAGTCTTTTATTCCACAAAAGAGTATCTGAGTGGAATACATTGCATAGTAGTTGCATGGCAGTTCTGGTCAGCTGGGGTTGGCAGTTAATATCAAGGTCCTCAGAAATATTTTTTTTTAAATTGCTGATAAATGCACCACCTCCCTGGCCAGTTTCAAAGCTAATAGAAAACTTCATGGTGCCCGTGATAGATAACTAAACTTTGATAAAGATATAAAAGAGGTAAAGTCACTGATTACATTTCAAGGGTGAGAGACTTTAAATGATGCAATTGCAGTAATGAAAGGAAAAACTGCTCAAAAAGGTCTGACCTTCACCATGTAAGTTTTCTGAAGAAAGTGTGAAGATTGAGTAAGTGATAAGAAGGTATGTGATTCATAATATGTGATCTGAGCAAGAAAAATAGACACGAAAAGATTTCTTATGAAACATTAGGATTCCCTCTCAGATCCTGAGAAATCTGTGCATAAACTGATTAAAGCAAATTAAGAAAAAAAAAAAAAATCAGACTTCGAATCAGCTTTGCTACAGCCATGTTATCTTCTTGTGTCTGTTTCTTCCTTCCTTTAGCTGTAAGTGAGCACTTATTTCACAAATACTCTCCAGCAACCTAGCAATGTGCAAGGCTGTAGTAGAAATGAATGCATGGGAGGTGTTATAAAGGTATGTATGAGTTGTTCAGGTGTCTGTATAACTCTTATAACATCGGTAAGAGACAAGAACATACAGACAACAAAAAATCAGATTGAAAAAATGTAACAGATGGATAAAAAAAGATTCAGATCTCACAGCAATGTAGATCTTGAATAATCCTGTGATTTGCCTAGCATTTGTGTCTCAGTTTTCAGGTCTGGTTTTTAAGATACAGGCAAAGGAAAGAAGATGCATATCTTAATTATGCTTTAGAAGTATATGAAGCATTTTGGAGAACACAGGATGGTTAAATATTCAAAATTATTAACCCGTTATCAGTAGGATTTTATTAATTTTAACATAAAAGCACTTGTTATTTTGTCAGTAGTCAATGTTCACAACAGTAACAAAATTGTATTTAGTAACACCTTCACGTATCTTCGTATTCATATGTAATTCTAAAAGGAGAAGGCAGGTACAGCTGAGGCCAGGCATTCTGTGTACAGATATTCTGCTACAGGGACCATACATCATATTTACAGTTGAAGGAGTTTTTTTCTTGTGATTGTTTTTGCTGTATTTGTCTATTAAAAGTGAAATGGAAAGAAAATAAAAATGAAATGGAAGAAAAGAAAAAGGAAAATGTTATACAAAACCATAAGACCTTTTGTTAGACAGGATGTATTAGAAGTATAGAAAGAAATCTGTAACATCTAGTAAGAGCAATTAGATGATGATTTTCCTTGGATTCTTTTGTATTCTGAGTTGTAAACTGTTTTCACAACAGTTGTCTCATGCCGTTTGTTTCATTATAATATCAAGGTAGGAGGTACAGATTAAGTAACACTGACAGTGCGAAACATTGAATTTTCTTGTCAGTTTAGTGGTTAGCTTTCCCTATAGTTAATCTCTAACCAAAAAAAAAGTTTTTCAATGACATAATTCCCACAAACCCTAACAATGCAATTATTAAAAAATGGAATTAGTATGATGATTGCTGCATTTTACCATGTAAGTTGACTGAAATGCACGAACCTACTCTTATTCAAAGGAGGAATAACCCGGCTTTATTGAAAGCAATTGAGTAGTGAATTCCTAAAACAATAGAGGAAGGTACATGAAGGATTTAACAAATTGGCTGAAGAAATAGCAACACTGCAGAGAAGTGGCCACTTGGGCATCGTGCGATAGATGGCGCTCTCTTCTTAAATGTTGGGACATGGAATTCTGGTGTTTCATTATAAAAATAATTCTGCAGCCTATATTGACAGCTACTGAAATCCTGCCTGATGGTAGTTTTTATAAACTCAGTGCAGATCTCATGTGTGGATAAACATCAACTTCAGAAAAAGATTATATTTTAAAACAAATAATTTATATGTACAGGATTTAAACATGAAAACATCCTAAAAACCTTTCCCTGATAATGTCTCTCAGTTTAATTACTGTGTGGTTTTGAGCTCAGAGATGGCAAAAGAGAAAGCCTCCCAACAAGCAGGTGTTCTGTAAGCAACATAGTTAACAGAATGGATTTTGCCTCTTTAGAAAACCTGTAATGTGGAGGTCTGTGGAAGGTGAAAAGGCTCATCTTGCTACTGGCTCAAAAAGACTCCCAAATTTCCTGTGCAGCAACTGTCTGTGCCATTGATCTCCGCGTGGGTGGAGGAGGTAGCTCTTCACAGAAGGAAAGGCCCAGCTCTGGCTGCCTGGAAGGTAGGGTCAAGCACACAGTGTGCCAGTATAAACACAGAGCTTTGTGATGAACCAAGAGCTGCAAGACCACCACTTCCTGCAGTATTCATTGGTAAGTACCTCCCTGAATTGCCGTAATTTCTGCTTGCTGTCCCTGAAGTAGGCAAACTGGGCAAATCAGTCTTCTAGTCAGGTTTTCTCTAGAATTCCTAATTAACAAGAAGTGGGTTTTTCCTGTCTCTAAAATACACAAGAAAGGATATTAAATCATAAGTAGGACTCTTCCTATGGCATAGCCTCCTTCCAGCATCAAAAACATGATGCTGGGTTCTAGTTCCAAGAAAGGAACTTGTATGTGTTAGTATATACTACTCCTGGGGACAGAAGTGTGTGTGTGTGATGAAATGCTGAGTGTACTCTGGAGAAAAGCTTTCTGTTCAGTGCAGTTTTTTTTTTTTTTTTTTTGCACATCGCATACAAAGACTAACCTTAAGCACATGCTTTTTTGCTGAAATATAAACACTCCTGGCAAAACAGTGTTCGTGAATTTGATGAAAAAGATGGATGCCCAGGACATCAAAATGAAGAATAAGTCAAAAATACCGAACTTGAACTTATGATTCTGTATACTAATGAAGAACTCAATTGGGTTAGTCAAGTAATCAGATTTTTATATTTTTATACAATTTTATGAATCTTTATATTTTTATATTTTCTAGAAACTAGCGTTTGTATATGAAATAAAATATTTTAAGTTCACAGCACATTTTATCTACCTAAAATTCAGTTCTTTTATTCTTAGACCTTAACCAAAGCTGTGTGCAAGACTGCAGAAGGAGCAACATGAGCAGTTTGAGCTCAGAGGGTGATCCTGTGCCACGTGCTCTAGGTGTCCCTGCTGGAACAGGGAGGGGTTGGACTGGGTGATCTCCAGGGGTCCCTTCCAACCTCAACCATTGTGTGGATATAGATCATATGCAATCCCAGGTCTTAGTTAAGGAGTGTGGAACTATGACCTACGTGGAGAACTGAGGTTACAATATTTGAAGGGGCATCGGATGTAAATGGTACCAGATATGGAAAGAACTTGACAAGTGGAAATGTTGCCTCATGTTTAGGGTTTGGTGTTATATGGGGCAACTTTATTTCCTAGAATCTGAAGGCAATGATGCGGACTGCTCTTTAGCTGTTCCTATCCTTTAATGCGTTTGCAGACACATGGGTTTAATACCTTAATAGAACCTCAGTGTTCCTCTATAATTTCTTTGCTTTATTAGCTATTTTTTCCTGCAAAGAATCTCACAAATGAGAATGAAGAAGGGTGAAGTACTGTATTGACAGGTTGCTTCGTAGGCTTCACAGCCGTTTCATAGTGGACTGTTGGACAGTATTGTGAGCTGTTCTTTGTTCTATAAAGCTTTCTCAACATAAAGAATGATTTTTGAGATCAAAATATCATCAAATGAAAAATATGATTATGTTAAAGGCTCTCAGACTAGCATGGATAGAAGAAATCCAGACACTGTGTCCTTCAAAATCAAAAGGAAAACAGCAGCATGTATGCATCATTTGCCTTTAATCACAGACATTCTGAACATGCTTGAAATGCCAGTAGTTTTATAGATCGTGCAGTTCACTACTCCTCCTTTCTTCCCCTTATGAGATGAAATCCATAGCAGCGGTATGACAAAGGATACATTAATCCAGCCAGTGGACCTGTGAAGATGGAAACTACAGCTTTTTATAGTAACAGCATTAGTTCAAAGTAGTTGTCTGGAATATAGAATGTAGAGAAAAGTGTCTGACTCCACCAGCAGCATTCTGTTTGCATCTCCTCTAACTCAGAGTTCATAGTACTGAAGATCTGCATGTTCAACTTCCAATTATATTTTCAAAATTTTCTGTAGTTTTCTGATAAATTGATTTTTTCATCCTAACTCAACTTGTGCAACCATTTTGCATTTAAAAAAAAAAAATAAGTTGGTTAAACTGTATGAGTTGTAATGGGATGTGTCTTATAGCTTGTTTATGGTTATTCTATTGCATAGCACTAAAAGAGTGCTTTCCAGGGTCAAAACAGACACCTCTATTGTAGTGTAAAACACTATATTTTTTAGAAATTCAACTGAGACTTACTGAGGAGGACTGAGAATGGCAAATGACATACTCTTGGGTCTCTCATAGCTGATATTCCTTGTAGAAGTCAGGATGGTACAAGATTCAACAGAATTCATGTCTGTTCTCAGACCTGCTTTATAAAAAGATAGGCATTTGCCATTTTTTCAACATTGTTCAGATGCCGAATGTATGAAAATGAAGTGATTCACTGTGTGACTGTTTTTATTTCTACATGGATAGAATATGATTAGTTTTGTCTGTATGTACATGTGTGAAAATAAACTCAATTTAGGAAGTTTTAAGGTAATTAAAAATAGCTAATAAAATGAGGTATGCATGAAGTGTGGATAAACTTCATGGGCAAAGGGAATGCATGAGCAATATATTGCTGAAAGCAATTCGAAAATGAGTATTTACTGCTTTTGTGTGGCTGTTATTCTTTAGCTGCTTTCCATGTGCACAAGACAACTGGAGCTCACCAGAAAAACTTAGAAACTCCAAAGATGGAAAACCAGATGTAGTCCCTTGGGTTATGAATGAGGGTTTTCAAAAAAGATGTGTGGCAGAGAAATATGAAGAAGGTGCTGCACAGTGGTGCTGCTGAAGGAACGGCTGTAAAAGAAGGCAGGTAAAAAAATTTTTTTAATATTTGTTAAATTCTGTTTTGGTGAAATTGTGTATAGATGTATTTTCATACAGTTACTCCATTTTATTATGGAGCCTTGTTAGTTGTCTAATTTGCCAAATTAGTATTTATAGAGACATGTCCCTAATTTTCATACAGGAAAACAAATAGTATTAGGATACAAGTTAGCTTTGGACATGCATGCTGTTTTTTTATGTTTCAGGAGGATCTTTTTAGTTTAATCTTGCCTAGAAATAGAGCTCTTTTAAACTGAGAATGGACTGTTCTATATATAGCTTCTACTTTGAAATGTTTATGAAAAGTTAAAGGGAACATACATCAAAGGCCGGAATTCTGCAGTCTAAAGCCATAATGTGCTTAATTTGAAACCATAATTAATGTCACTATATTTACAAATTATATGAGTTGCTGCCTAACTGACCATCACTTTTACAATTTTTAATCTATGTACACAATTGCAGTCAGTGCACAGATTAATTAAATGCTGTTGAGAATCTGACTTGGTGTAAAGTTTGTATTAAATACCAGAATGCTAAAAAGTACTAATTGGTCAGTGAAATATGCAAGATGATACAGATTTTATAGCAGACTCTTGAAGTATTTTATACGACAGTACTGATACTCATTTTTATTTTGCTTGCTTGATATATCTGTTAGTGTATAAAGGCTGATCATTTTTAAACACTTAAAATTATTTTACATACATCCTGGTCTACCAAGAAGGCAAGAAAGAAATACTTTAGGGCTGGTAATTTAATGATTCAGCAAAAGAAATCCAAAATATGAAGGCATTGGATTTACTTCTCAAATAACAATTTTTAAAAATATCATGACTTAAAAGATGGATGACAACCACATGAACTCAGATCACTTCCGAGTTATGACCACTCCAAAGTATCATTGAGTTTATTTCCTCCTCTATATTTAAATTTGTCTCTGATAATTAAAATATAGATGCAGAGTTGCTGTCGTGCATACAAGTTGCACGTTGAACACAAGCAAGCTGATGGAAAGTTTCAAAAAGGAGGCCATGCATTCAGTGCACACACTGCAAACAGATGGCTCAAAAGTCAACAGTTAGCACCCTGCTCCATGCGTTAAGCCAATTAATTCATTAAACTTAAGGCAAAAGGGATAGATAGTCTAGGGGAGGAAGACACAATAAACAGCGTTTTCCCCTCTTTGCCAAATATGTAATTACTGTGTAGCAGAAGATTTTTTTATTCATTGTCTGTTTGTCCATATCAGATGTGCATTTTTAGACTGTATAATGACCAGTTTTCACAGGGAAACACGATTTCTGCTGTAGTTTCTTTTTTTAAAAGTCTTCTGAAAGTGGAATGAACTAGAATTACTCTACAACTTCAACAAGCATTTTAACAATTAAGCCGCAATGTCAAAAAAGAGCATGTGTCTGTATTCCTTGTATACCTTTTTATAACACAAGACCCATAAATAGAAGATCGTGCTTCTATCTCTAGGATTTTCTTGTGACTTACTGTAAACCAGAGCTACCTCAACTGTGGTTGAAGAAAGAATACAAATTGCAGAATTGTCCAAATCCTGGAATTTATGTGCTGAAGACAAGATCCACAGTTTCCTGTTGTTAGTGTGTGTTGAGCATGCTGAGATTCTTGCAGTTGTTTGTAATTTGTTTGTCCTACTATTATGTATAGATAAATATTTCTCACGTTTCTTTGTACTAGGCATAATCAGAGAAAAAGTAGGCTTAAATTAATTCCTCATAGCTCCAATTTTGTTCTAAATCTTCAGTTTCAGTGTTCACAGTATCACTCTGTAAATTGCTCAAAAGTAAAAAAGTTTGAAATTGGATGATTCATAACCAAGAAACAAAAAGTTAGCTCTAATTTAATTAGGGAAGAATTAAATGTTTTGCTCTGCTTTGGATGATGTTAAATGAGTTCCTGTGATGCTTCCATGAAGCTTCTAAATTAGTTTTCTGATTAGTTTCTGTTAAATTAGTTTTGGTGATGTTCAAATAGTTAATGACTAGTTTCATTAACATAGGGAAATATGAAATGTTGTGACATTTGATGCTTTTACGTTGTGAGGTGGTGTTCCATAAGTCATACAGTTTTAGCCATACCTTAAGTTATAATGCAAAGAAGCCATGTATAGATTTAAAAGCTGCTTTTTTCCTGCTATAAATAACCACTGCAGTCACTGAAAATTAGTAGGTGAATAAATCTGAGTCTTAACCTCCATATTCTTAAAGTCAAGGTTTTAAAACAATGTTTACTTGGCATTATCATTTCAAGTGTTCTGTAAAAATTCGATCACAGATTACTGAACAATTCTGTTTCTGTCTACTTCTATGTACTTAAGACAATGGTAAGATAGTAGTTTTGGTAGTTTGTTGTTAGTATGAAATGTGAAGTATGAAATGAATGTTAGTATGAATGTTAGTATGAAATATGAAAAAAAAATGAAAAAACTGTACTATGTTTAAATTCAGGTTGCTAGATATAACAGAAGTGATTCTGTGATTTTACTGAAATCATGCAATCTTCAGAACCTAAACAGCAAAGGAATGGAAAAAAAAGGCATCCAGTAATACCTTTCCTCTGCTGTGTGACAGAGACAGAAATGTTCCCTGTGGAACGCAAGTGTATTGCAGAGAAACCCTATAGAATCATGATCATTACCAGAATAGACATGTTCCCCAGTTATATGATGGCTCCTATAGTGGCAGTGTAGACAGCAGAGCTGGAAAGGCAGTGCAGAAAAATTGGCATTATGTGATGTTAAGGAAGAATTTCCTGATTCAGAGAAGGGATCATTACGTGTAAATGGGAAATGCTAATCTTCTCCAGTTTTCAGTTTCTTTCTGCCTTCCCACTAAGAGTAGTATAACCAGGATAACCATAATGAATGCACAGTTGAGTGATTTTGAATGGTAAATACATATGTTCTTGTTATACTTAACAGTGATTCAGATTCAGGTACACTGAAGAACCCCATCATCAGTAAGCCCTCGGGGGGATGAAGAACAAAATGGCTGAAGAGTTTTATGGAGCGTATGAGAGAAAAGGTAACTTCTTTGCTTTGTTCAAGATCCTCATAGCTGCCAGTTCTTCAGCTTTTTCTTAGACGAGTTTAATAATTTCCAGCATTTCTTAGTCTTTTGAGGCAACTTCTGATTTGACAAAGAGCATCTAAAAACATCTAAAGTTTCATAATCTTCATGACAGTTCTGAAGGCATATATCAAAAGAGTTGTAATATTTTCCAAGATTTTCTGATCTTTTTGCAAATTGTTATAGTAATTTGCCTTTCTCTAATTGATCAAATAATTATAAATGCTAGAGAGAAAACAAGACTTTAACTACAATGTATATGAAATTTTGATTTTCTCAAATGGGTTTAAGTTGAAATTCCAAGGTTGTTCAAGTTTTAATCCTTAAGACTTGAATAGCACATTTCCTTTTACCTTCAATAGTAAAATACAGACTGAATGCTTTCATTCCCCTACAGAGCTCCCCATTAATATAAATACTGTCTTTAGATACCTATACAGAGAAAGATTTTTTCCCCAGTCTCACTGTTCTTTTAGCATGGATCACTCTGTAGCGCTACACCTACCTCTGTAGTACTGTCACTTATTTTTATTATTACTACTGCTACTACTAAAAATAGTGTTCTTTTTGTTGTAACTACTAAAACTTTTTATTTCCATTGTTATTTTTAATATTTAATAAAAATGTGTGGAGTTTTAAGTAAGCCAGTAAGAGTTTTACTAACCTCTGAACAGATTTTGTTGTGTGTATTAGTCCTTGGAGGAATTCGAACATAAATCTGATGAATAGATGGTCTGTTCCATTTTCATAGACTGAAGACATGTCTGGATTTATTAGAGATTTATCTTCCTCAATACTTGTGTTGATCTTTGTGTTTTTAATTATTTCAGGTTTAATAGCCTGAGAGGTAGATTTTTGTCTTGGAGAGATGAATAACAGCCTTTAAACCAGATAGATTGGTTACAGTGAGGAGCTCTAACCAGCCTGAAGTAGAGAAAGGAGAATGGATTAACCACCTCTCAGGAGATTAAACCTATTGACATTATAGAGCAAACAGAGATATTTCAATACACTTTATGGGAATATTCCACAGTTTTAATATTATTCTACAAATTCTACCAATCTTCTTTGTAAAGGCTCTCCCAAGATACTCTAAGATGTGTGCAATTTAGGCCTAAATATATTTTGACTGAGAAGAACCCAAGAATTATGACCTTTACAAAGAAGATTAAATAATAGCCCTGTGGACATGTGCATGAATAATTACATATAGGACAGTAAAACAAGCTTGATAGTTTCAGTGCTAATAACTCCTAAGGGTAACTGTCAACACAGGAAAAGAGCAAGAAGTGGAGTACTATTTAAGTTACAGGCGTTCAGAATTTAAAAGGTGATTTTCATCTGTATGGATAAGCAGTAAATATTTGAGTACAAACCCGTGCAGAAGATCAGAGCTTAAGGTTTAACGTATGTTGCATAACGGGAGAGCATCATTTTGCCTTCAGAACCATTTTCATCAAAACTGCATTAAAATGGCATGTTTTGGGGGAAAAATAAACAGTGCTAATAACCTTAATACTATGTAGCCTGTTGATGTGTTATGTAGCTTGCCGATTGTGTTGACATTATGAAATAAGTCCTAACTGGAGAGAACGAGTAGTATTTCAAGATCAGATTGGAGAGATTATCTAAACATATGTTCTACGATATAAACTGCAAAATACATGTTTCTATCCTGAATCTGGAAAACAGAGGGAAAGCAGCGGTTTTGTAACAGCATTGTACCAGAAGCAGCTGTTTTGTTCAGTATTAGAGGTGCAAGGAACTAGGCACAAAGTAAATGAAAAATAAAATATCCTAACAATAAGTAAGCAATACTTACTATTGTTAATATGATATTGTTATGCTATTGTTTATATAATAGTGAAAACTATTGTTTTCACTGAATTAAAAATCACTCAGTTATGACTACTGGCTAGATATACAAGATAAAACTGTCCTCCACCAACAGACCACATATAAAAGAAATGAAGTGGAACAAGAAGAGTATTTGTTGCTATTTACGTTGCATGTAAGTCAAACAAATTGTCTGTAAGGTTATCATCTTTTCTGACATTTTGATAGCTTCTGTCTTTTACGTTGCCATATCTCCCAATTGTTTACATTTACTCATTTTGAAGATTTTGGAAGGAGATTCCTAGCCTTTCAATTTAGGATGTGACAATTTTAAAATATGACAAAGCCATAGGAGCAAAGGTCAATTTTTAGTCTATGTATCAGAATGAAATATTATCTCCAATACTTGCTGAGTTATTACTGTGTTTAATACATAGATCTGAGACCTAGGTCATAAGGGTCATATAGATTGTCAGAGTCATATATACTTACCCTTGGAATCTCTGCTCTTTCTCCCACATAACTTATGGTCTCGTGCTGATCTCCAGCTGCCTCCATCTCCATTCCCGAATTACCATGTGCATTCTCTGCAGACCAGGTTCCCTTCGTTGTCTTCTAATGCGTAAAAACTAAAACTAACCCCAAGCCTGAAAATAAAGTTTTTCTTTCTCTTCTCTTCTGATACCAGAGAGCCCTGGGAACATTATCCCGTCTTGCCCAAGTTTTTTTCTTGGCTTGCTCTCTACCAAGTGCCTGCCCCAGTGAGCAGCCTTTTAGAGCAAGATTAACTCTGACAGAGGAGTTGCAGTTGACTCCAGCAGATAAATGGATTATTTTCAGGCCCAAAATAATACTTGTGTCTGTTTGCCACAATCTATCGATTAGTTTGACTTTAATGCCTGTTAAAAATTACTAGAAAAAAAAAACAGTATAAAGCAACTTAACATAAATGGGTATGTACGTGGGCACTTGCACACATCCACAGTTTAAGGGTTCTCTGTTTCTGTCTTGAACATAGATTTAATGAATGAATGAATTCATCACACATCCGTTAATGTGTAATGTTGCAGAACTATGATGATCCGTTACTGAAATCTGTCAGGTAATTTCTAGTAAGGATCTAGCTACATCACTACTTCATCTAGAGCGAGCTAGACCAAAAATCCCATATGGCTATAAAGATAGCCTCCTATTAATATGTTATTTGAAAACTTTTTAGAAATATTTTAGATGGCTTTCAGCAGTGGTAACTGTAATAGAATATCCTCAATGATTTCTGCTAATCCTACTTCACACAAATCAAATCTGAACCATTTTTTCACCCAAACTCCTGTTACAAAATGTGGGAGGTTGATGTAAGATATTAAGTATGGGCCTCCTCTGAGTCTTTGACAAGAGGTATAGTAGCATTCCTTTTATTGGAATATATTTTGCTAAATATATACATTATATACATTCATATATATATACACATACATATTTATGTGTCTTAGGGGTGTGTATATATTGCATGTGTATACTGTGTGTATATACACACACAAGTTTTTTTAGTCTCTACATCATTGCACATATCAACTCTCTTCATATTTTCCCTATTTCTGTTGTTAGATAGCTGCACCTTCCAGCGAAATGTGCAGCAGACTGCTCTGTGGACAGCAGACTGCAAAGTGCTGCAGTTGCACAGAGTCATGGTTCTGATTGTTTCTTCAGGAAAGCCTTTTATGAGCAGAGGAGGTAATTAATCAGATGTATCTTTCTACAAAAATTGAACAAGCTGCCAAGTCTTGCCAGATGGCCAGTGAATGTTATTGAGAAAGAATGTGCTAACACTTAGCTGTACACAGTGTGTAAAATCCACATCCTTTTGAAGCTCAGACCTCATCTACATTTAAAATATCAGTAAAACCAATCCACTTTTGCATAAAATTCCTTTTTAGTAAAATGCTTTGGAAATTATGATTTGATTTAAGCCACTGAACTTCTCCTCCATTTTTATTTGAGCTTTGTGTTTTCCTTTAATGCTTATTCCTGAGATTATTGACATTTGCATGATAAAATATCCTTAGTGCAAACTAATCAATTTGGCTGCTGGTCTTTATGATTTGGAATTTCTTTTGCCTTCAGCTGGATTGAATATCTGATAAGACAGACCTAGATTAAGGAGCCTGTTTAATCTGTGATCCTTTATCTTGTGAAAGGCAGTGAGAAGGGTCATAGATACCGTAACAGGTTTCATTGATGATTTCTAATAAAATGAAATGTATTTCTTGTAACTGGAATGCAGGAGGTAATCCTTAATAATCTTCTGTATCACCAATCCTATTTCAAAGAACTTCTGTATGAGATTTACCCCCCAAAATAGTGAATTGAATGACTGGATGTGAGGAACACTAACAAAATTCCCATTCTCATTTATTCACGACTAAACATGACAACCGAGGTAAACTGGTGCAACAAACCACTTCTGACTTGTATAAATGGGGACGTGGAATGGAGCTGTGATCTACTTATCAGATGAAGTCCTTTCTTTATGCCATTTTTTAATCCAAAATAATAATGCAGAGACATACATAGACTGAAAGGTAATTCTTAGTGTCTTATAAGGTGGCCTTTGATTTAAGTGTCAGAAAAAAATCCTGTCCTATTTTGCAAATTGAAACTGAAGCAACTCATACTAGAAAATGTAGGAAATGCAGTCGTAGTAAATACATCTAAGAATATGGACTCATGTTTACCGTGATCAATAACTTCACTGAATTCTACATTGTTAAACTTTCACTCACGCTGAATTATCAGCAATAGTCCTTAATTATCATTTCACTGCTGTGTTACCCTGAATTCATTTACATTCTTGGTGCATTATGGTTGTCAGCTTTTTTTCTGAGCTCGCTCCTTCATACTTCAGTTGGTGGCTTATAGTTTTATATCTCCCTGTTTCTTCAACCTCTATAGCTTATAATATTACAATCCTGCCTTATGCTAACTTAAATCTACCTAATATTCCAACAGAGCTTGAAATCTAAAACCTGATTATCCCTCCACTTCTGCAAAGGATGAAATGATGATCCTCTTTTGAGAGGTGATGAAGGAGCAGTAGCAATAATCCTAGCTTCCTTAGGATTCCACCAGAGCTCTGTGCAGACAGAGGTCTCAACATTTTGGAAAAAAAGGGCAAAATTGGAACGTGACAAACTGTTTATTTCTGAAAGTGATTTTTTTATAGTCTAGAAGATGTTCAAGCAGCCTGCCATGTTAGAATTAAGAATTCTATATAGAGAATTTTACATGCCATATATATGGTATATAAGCATAAAACATGGTTGGTAACTTAGTGTTAAAAACACACCTGCTAATGAAAGATTTTTCTTTGACTTTTATTAGGAAAATATTTTTCCAATTTGTAAATTGTATCAGATGCTTCCAGATTTTATATGCATTGTAACATGCAATCATTTCTTCAAGAGATTTCCATATATCTAAAGGAAATTTCACTCATAATATTTTGGAATTAATCTTGATGGAGTTCTTCAACTAACTGTTGTATTGCCTTGTCTTCTCCTTAACTGTTTATCTTAAACTCTATGAAATTTGCTTTTAATGCACTAATTGATCTAAAAAAACATGAATGGAGTCCTAATGAGTTAGGATTAATAATCAAAACCTCACTCTTAGCAGTTCTTTGTTTTTCTCTTCCCTTACGTTGTCATCTCACTTGCAAGTAAATTGCAGGCCTGCTGTTTAGGTACAATTAACCAGAATGATCACTTACAACTCCTGCTTATTTTCTCAGATAAACTGGCAAATAACATTAGTGAAAAGTTTGGTGGGACTAGACTAAAATTTTATGTATAAACGAAGGTCCCAACCTCTCCGTCCTTGCACACCCACCAAGCTATGAGCTGTGGTAATTCCTGCAGAACAGCACGTCAATATCTCTCATTTCCAAATTCCTAAAAATCATCCTGCCTGTGTGAAATAATTCCCTTCTTCCCAGCATGGGGAGGAAGGAACCCCAGCATGCAAGGAGTAAACATGTATGAAGTTCTGTTCTGCTCCATGATTAAGTGAAACATAATTTTTCTGAATCCTCTAAATCATTATTCTCTAGATAAAAAGGTATCATTATGTTCAACATTTGACCAGATAGGGGGTTTGTGTTAGTTTGAACAACTGAGTTTCCATTCCAGAACGAAATGGCCATGCTTAAAGGTAAGCTTATTCCTGAGATAAGCTTCATTCTTATGTGAATACCTAATGCTGTTTTTTTTTTTCCCCTGTAGAAATACTCTGATAAAGTCTTGCACTTGTGGTCATGACTGTCAAATATCACAGCTTTATATCAAAATTTGTAATTTCTGGAAAGCTTTTAAAAATTTTAATCAGCTATTTCAAAGCCACAGATCAGATTTCAGTAATTTTAGATGGATGCAAAAACATGTTTATTATTAAACTAGAAAGGTACAAACATCTCTGAACCTGACAGCATCCCATGGAAGATATATTTCCTGCTGCTACAGAAACATTAAGGTGATCCGAAGGTAAATCAGCAGTGACAGATCAGTGACCATATTGCTCGCTCAGCGTCCTCAAGAGAACTGTGTTTGTCTGCATAAGTCATGCTTTTCTTGTCTAAACAGTTTTCTTATCCATAATTAACGTGAGGATTTGATAGCCATAAAGTGTTTATTTGCAAAGTGTTTTCAAGTAAAATAAAAAATAGCTCATGCTGTGACTGCCTCCCTTTCTGTTAGTGGCCTACAAGTTTGGACATAGCTGTATATAACTTGAAGTCTGTGACATTTTAATGTTGCTGTAGCAGCTTCAAAATGGAATACATTTAAATCAATTACAAAAGAAGCCAAGATAAGCTTTGCAATATTGCCAAATAGGCAAAATGGACCTCAGGAGTTTCTTCTATTTCTGCAGACTTTATATGCTTACATTTCTACTGATAGTATAAAAGACGCTCTGTATTTACACATAAGAATAAAAAATATTTATAGATATAAGGGAACATTATAGGTAGTTTTATGCTCTGGGCTTCTTCAATTTATTTTTAAAAAGGCTATATGATTACTTGCAAAGAGGCAGAAGCTGTTCTGTTTCCTTAAAAATCATGTGCATTTTGGGATGGTTTCCAATAATAAAATGCTAAAAAAAAAAAAATCTTATTCTAAATTACTGATTTCTAATTTTATTTTAAACAATGTTCAGTTTAGGAATATGAAAAAACATTTATTACTGTTATGACAGAAAAAAAGATTGCTTCCATTTTCCATTAACACCGAACTCCCAGCTTTCTTCTGGCTCTTACTCGTACTGTCCATCTTTGCTCCAAGAACAGGGGAAGCAGCAGATGAGACCACTGTTCAGTAACAGATTGCTCAATATGAGATTAGCCAAAGAACTGCTAGCTTTCAGAATCTGTGCATAAAGTCTACAGTAATTTTTCTGTGTTTAGTAGTATGTTGGAAACAGTAGTTGTGAGAAAAGTTCAGACAGAAGCAGAAATAGAGTTGGTAGAATGATTATCACAAATATAGTAGCTATCATAGTCTACAGCATACAGGTGATAGCAACATCAAAAGCAGTATATTTTCAAGAATTTAGTTTCCATGATAGCAGTAGAGAGGAGGGCTTTCTGTGTACCAGCCAAGCGTGTTCAAACTTGAGAAGGGAAGGGGAACAGTTTCCTGGTGATGCCTCCATCCAGGAAAGGTCTATTTCCATTTTGCAGCACAATGAAATTAAGCTCATATACTTTTTAAAAAAATAATAAAAAAAAATACTGCCATAAAATGGTTGTATGTAAACTTTTCTCATTCTTTCTCCTCAGATTCCCCCTATGCATGTTAAACAGGACAGAGATGACACAAGGTATAGTCCGTCTTCTGTGAAGAAGGGTTTAGACATGCTCAGATGAGGTACAATGAATGAGAAATCTGAAAGCATTCTTAGTAACCTCCCTTTTTAGGGGTATATTGCAACAAAAGAATCTGTAAAAATATTGTGTATTCTTATGCAAGTACTAGAGTACAATTAATTTTAGCTTCATACTTAATTAAAATTCCTCCTAGTATTCTCTTGTGGGGAAAAAAATTTGAAAGGTAAGTTCTACTTCCAAAAAAAAAAAAGCAGAAAGAAAGAAAACTTGGTGTTACCCCCTTTAAGGATTAATCTTGCTCTTATTCATTGTTATTATTAGATCAAAAAAAAAGTGAAGATACTAAATTAGGTGACTTGAAAGGATAGAAAATACATCAGTAGTCTCTTCTTCAAAGATAAGAGTAAAAAAGCTACCATGATCATACCTACAAGGAAAAAAAAGATATAACACTAAAAAGTTACCAGTTTGAATTTTTACTTGTCTTTCTTCCTTTGATGGACAAAATCCTTTTGAGATGAATACAGGCTTAAAAACACTGAAATTACTTATATACAGTAGAAGACTTAACCTTTTTGACTTCTCTAAATGTCCCAAAACCCACAGAAAATGTTCAAGGCAATTCAGCGAAATGAATTCAAAGCTCTAACATCTCATCTGCAACTATGAGTTGAAATAAGCCTTTTATTTGAAAAGCTCTTTTTCCTTCCTTCCATTTCCCTATTTCTCTTTTTTCTGTGACTTCCTATTCTTTCTCCTCACTCATTTCCCACATCTTTCCCATCTGTCATTGTTTCCTTTGGGGCTGAGTCAGTCCTATTTGAGGTGCAATCCCTAACAGTAGAGGAGGAAATTTTGCTTGTAGGAATGCCATGACAAGAGAGGATGGGACACTTGGAATCTTGGAAATGCTACTGCATTAGAAGATGAAAGCAAAAGACAAACAATACCACCTAAAAAAAAAAAAAAAATCTGTGCTCATTGCATGATTCTTTGAGGTAAGTAATGCTTGAAAATTTAAAACTCGGGAAAAAAGTGAGCATCTCTATTCAGTATTATGCCTTGCATTTGATTAACAGACATGAACATATTTAGCCTATCACAGTTCCAAACAGTAGCATAAACATTTGGTCACACTCTCAAGTAATAATAAATAGTGAGATATCTGTTACATATTTTTAATTATTAAAATATCACAGTTAATGAACTGAGAACCATTTTTTTCAATAATGTCTCAGCTGAAATTGGAGCTCTGGTGCTAGCCACTATCTATTTACAGTAAGAAAATAGTTTCTGTCTAAAGAAGTCTGTAGTATCACGACATAAACCTTTTTTTACACTGAATTAAGCAGGTGGAAGATGAGAAGGAAAATGGACATGCAGAGACAATCAAGTACTTTGGTTTACATTAAACCTGTGAGCTTTTAATGAGAGGAGAAAAAAAAGTAGCAAATAATTTGTTTACTGTTTATGATTGATGATATTTCAACAAAGATGTTACCTACAGTGAATTGAATCAAACTCGCTTAGATAATTGATTGGGTTACCATGACTGTACCTTTCATTTCAACATAACACGAACTAGTCACCTCCTTGTAAAAGGCTAACTAGGCTATCTACTTTGGCTTTTCCTTGGATATATGAAGTAAATTGAAATCTGTCGGTAAAATAAAAACATGTGAAGAAAAAATATTTGTGGGTATACAGAGGAATGAAGGTCAAAACCTTTCATGAGAGAAGAATGAGCCACTTGTGTAGCGGAGCTGCATCCAGACTTCACCTTTCTTCCTCCCTTCATCTACTGAGCACTTCAAAAGCTTGCAGCCCTTTTCTGAACGTGCTCAACAGGTAACATCTGCAAATAATGTGGGCATTTTGGAAAAAAACAGCCATGGTTCTTTGTTGAGTGCTAACTGCAAAGCATTCCCAATGAGGATTATGGCTCATCAAGACAGTGCCAGCAGCTTTCTGGGTGGTTAAGCCTTCAATTTTAATTGAACTGCCTTTAGCTGCTGATAAAATCTGCCTTTTTAAAGAAGTAAACTGCATGGTTTCTGTAGCATGTTAAATTCAAGTTGAGTTTCCACTCAGCATAATTACATGGACTTAGCATCTAATTGATTTAGTTGAAATGTATATTTTATTCATCAAAGTGTAAGAAAACCTAATTCCTTTATGTGCAATATCCTTATTTTTCTTTTTCCTTTTGCAGTATTTAATATGTGAGGAATAAGACAGGAGAAGAATTCTCTTGAAACAGAAGGTGCTTCAAACTTTCCTTCAAACATAGGGAAAGTTTAAGGAGTTATTATCACTCTTATACAGCATCCAGGAAAGTGTGTGCTTTAAAATACTCAGGAAAGCATAATTTTAAAACAGCTAAATAGCATGACAGTCTCTAAAGAAAGGGAGTTATTCCACTGTAAGAAACACCTAAAGCAGTTTTAATTTGAAGTATTTATTGGAAGAATGGAAACAGTATATTCTTGAAATCTTATGAATTATGAGTATTTATACTCATTTCTGTATAGAGAGTATTAATGAAATAACTTATAAATTGAAATAACTAATGAATAAAGTGGTATAGGGTACCTTTTAACTTTTCAGGTTATTTCTAAAATTCGCAAGATATCATAGGGACTTGCCACAATTGCATGTGGTGGTGGTAATGTTAAGAATTCAGTCTATCAAGCACAACTTGTGCTTTAAAGTAACTCCTCAGATAATTTTGCGTAATACCCATAAAGTGGTCCTCAGGGTGGAAATAAGCTAAAAGATGTGGCCTGCTTTCTGTCTTCATCACTGTGCAGGCATGTGAGGCAACCCCGTAGTCTGCCAGATACGTTGAAGTTCACTGGTCTAAGGGGTATTTAGCACAGGGAAAAGGTAGTTCTTGATCTTCACTTGCATAATATTGATAGAGAACAAAAAAAGTAAGATTGTTAAGACATGCAGGAGCAAAAGCTATTCTGAAAAACAATTCTGCAGATTATGCATGTTCTTTATCAAAATAATTTCAGAAATCCAATGGATCTATCCGAAATAGTTACTGGTTAAATGTATGACTGGTGATCCAACTTCCAGCAATCTGTTGCAATCGTCTCAGGACATAAATGTTTAGTGGAGGTACCCGCAAGTCAATCTGAATGCATATGACTAGGATATAAGAGGGGTTTGTTTGTTGGTTTGTTTTCAGAATTACAATATGCTTTCAAAGTTCTTATTTTAGATAACAGAGTATCTGCCACTCAGGATTATCCCAGCATAAGGAGATCTGAGTTGCATTTAGTGCTTTTATGACACTAGAGGAACTCAGAGTCAACGTTTCTGTTGTAATAGTAAATGATGAGCATAACAAAACATTGACATGATCAGACAATATGGTTAAAGATTTCTCAACTTCTTCCTGACTTTCTTTTTTGTTATTGTTCCATCTGCCCCCCCCCTTTTTTTTTGCTAACAGTGAAGCTAGATGTTAATGAGGAAAAAAAGGCCCGCATCTGTTAGACTATGAAGAAAAGGTCAATTACCTTCAAATAGGAAAAGAAGACTTACCAATCAATTTTCAGGTAAACCTTGCAAATCTAACACTGTGGCAGAGGAATGAATTTTTATTACTTGATCAGATAGTTCAGATTCCTGTTCATTCCTGGTAGAGACCTCTTTTATATCATTTATAAAACTTTATCACAGCTATGAAAATAAGATTAGATTTAATAAATCAGATCTTCAGGAGTTAAATCTCTAAACTTCAAGGATATGATCAAACCTAACGCATCTATTCTGATAAATTGTGTGTTCCTTATAACTTGTATGAAATTTTTACTTTTCTTATCCCTTTCCTCGGACAAGTGAGATTTTCTTCGAAAATAATTAAAGAAGTTATTTGAGAAACATTTTAAAAATATACCAGTTGTGAGTAGATATCATAGGCTGGTTTGAGTATACAGGCACATTTGTTCAAATTACTTAAAAATTAAGATGGATCACTGCATAGTTGGTGTCCCCTGAACTCTTCTGTGCAGTCATCAGTTCTTAGGCAGCTAGTTGCTGTTCTTGTGCATGTATGCAAAGCAACTTTAAGCATATATTCAGTTTGCCTCAGTAAATATTGATGAATTCTGTGTTCTGAATTAGGTGATCTAAATTTATTCTAGAGTTTTCAAAATTAAATAGTGGTACTAAGAGATGGGAAAATTAGGACGTAAGTATTTGTGGTAGTTGAGCACGTGTATCTGCCTGAGGTACAGTTGACAGATTCTTCCGGAGGAGACTAGTGAGACGGTCAGAATTTGGAGCCCCTGGGGATCCACTCTATTTATTGTACACACAGCCTAAAGACATCAGTCTCTTAAATTAGATTTTTCAATTTGGTATGTAAAATGAGGTAGTAAACATATCTGCTTAAAATTCCTTTTCAAAGACCTATCTTGCAAATCATACCTAGTGTTTTCTAGTTGATTGTAATCGTTTAAATAGTCTATTCTAAAATAATTTGTCTTCTGGAAATGTTCCGGAACTTTTCTAACCCTTTTCCCTACTGTTTGAAAATGTATACCAAAGGAGAACATATCTAAGAGTTAAGAATGAGTATTAGAATAAACAGGATACACATTGCCATATTTTGCGATGTTCAGATATATCTACTTACAGTTGATTTTTGATCACAGACTATTTTCCACTTTTAGCCCAATACTCTTGATGTAATTAAAAAAAAAAAATTACCAGAATGCTGGAAAGTAGTAGAGAAATAACCTAATTGATTTTACGCATTAAGAAAAAAATTCTGATATACTTCAGTGCAAATTTTAGCATAAGCTTAATAAAAGCCTTTTGAAAAAGATATATATGGAAGTTACGGTTCTTAAGCTTTTGTTACTTAGTATGATTTAAGCAGCCATAAATCAATAGGCTAGAAATGTTGTGTTTTAATTTAAGCAATTTTGATCTTGGTGGTTTAGATTTTGGTAAAAGTTTAGAGGGCATATTAGAAAAAAGCAATCACAAGGGAATAAATAAGTTCTTGAAAGTTACTTTGATTCTTAACACATTAGATCTTGTCACTGAAAGGATTAGAGGAGATTTTTCTTTCTTAGCAGGAAAAATAAGTTAAACCTGACGCCTGCAGCATTCTGTGCCGTAGATAGCAGCCAGTGGACAGTGGTAAGTCTTTGATTTTTCATACTGTAAGATAATTGGAGTTGGTGTGGTTATTCTAATGTAACTGAAAGCAGATTTGTCTGTTTAAAAATCATGTATAACAGTAGTTTCTATAAAAGGATTTTCTGTAATTAAATGATTTGGATTATTCCAGAAGCTTGGAATAGCACCTCCAGCACCTCCTGACCCAGAGGTGCTAGGAAATTTGGCGTCTCCTTTTAGAAAACTGGTAGTCTCCTACTCTATTTAAAAAGTCTCCTAATAAAGATGTGGGTAGAACTTCAGAGTCTGTTATTGCCATGAGGAAGAGGTAGTGAAGAACTTGGACACACATACACACACTCACTCCAAGGTCTTCTCCACGTATTGGACATCTATAATAATAACTGGCTTACATCAGTTAACCAAAAATAGGCAAGAGAATGGCTTCCACCAAAATGCAAATATAGGCATGTATATATGTCTGCAATATGTCAGCTAGACTTCTTTCTGATTCTAAAAACAGAGCTATTTCCAGCTTTTCTTATGCTACATAAGACAAACTGATTTTGTTTGCTAAAAACTGAATTATCTCTCTGTTATGTCTTAGTTACATGATTACTTCCAGTGAAAATTAATTTGGCATGCATGCAACAGTTATTTCGTTATGATACGTGTACTTTATACATTTTCTTTTGAGACGGAGCCTTGCAAAGCTTAGGTTATAATGCATTAGAAATGCCACAGCAAATTAGAGAAGAATCCTGTATATTTCCAAATTTATTGAAATCCCCTACTGATTTCAGGAATGTTGATTCTGGCTCGACAGGCAAAGTATACTATATATATATACATATATATAGTAAAAGTAAAAAGAAGTGATAGAATGACAGAAGGCATGAGCAACAAGTATCTAGGCCTGCCTCCAGAAAGGTTTCCAGAGAAATCAGTCCATACTGTGTAAAGCAGATGCTTATGTCTTTAGAGAATGGAGTCTTGAAACTCAAGTCATGAGTTAAAAAATTTGGATAGCTCCATAACTTCCCAGTTAGTACCAGCCTACATCTCAAAATCCCTGAAGTGCAGTGATTAATGCAGGAGCAGTGTGAAAATCCAAGGGTCAGTGCAGCCAGGAAGCAAGGTGTTCCACATAATTTGTTGGAGTTTAATACAACATGTGCTTTTACACTATTGACTACTTTGAGAACTCATGCAAAACTTTGAATGCAGAGGCAAGCCCCATGCCAGATGAGCACATGGCTTCTTTTCTCTTAAATGGATCATTTTAATGGTTTAAGTATCAAGTTTAAGCAGAGCTTGAACCTTTTTCATCATTCAGGCTACTCTGATACAGTGTCTGAGTCTTCAGCTCTGTAAATGTATATAAAAAGCCTTATGCTGTCATGTTTATATGTTTTTGTCATGCTTGTACATCTATAACAGAAATTCTTAATTTTAGTTGGTATTTAGAGCAGCCTGAATTCTAAGCTGCTACTAAAACTTGTCTCTGATCATACTTGTGACTTCTAAGAAAAAAGAAAAGAAACTCAAGCTGTTGGCTGGAGTCCTGGGTACCTACCAGAAGCTGGTAAACTGAACTGATTCCTCGTGATATTCTGTCTGCTTCCTTTGGAAACTTGGGCAATGCTGCCTAACTGGCAGAGATGACTTCCTACCGCTCCCTTGGGTGCTCTGCCCCATTTGCAGGTGAGTTGTGCTGGTGAAGCGCAGCGAGCTTTAACTGTGAGTTTCTGTCTCTTTGCAAACAACTTCCAAAGCACGGACCTGCATTTGCTGTGCTGAGAGAAAAAAAAAAACAATTCTTGTGCTTTCTGATGGGAGATTTCATGAGAATCCAGTGTGCGATCTGAACCGCTCACTTTTGCAATATTTATTGCATTTGCTTGAGGAAAGCCTTAAAGTGTACAAGGCTGCCCTGTATGTACACTTCTTTTCTTTTTTGACTTGTTAGGTATATTTTTTAATTCCCTGACAGGTTTATTGTAGTTGTTCCCAAATAGATAAATATGGTTCCTCTAATAGATAGGTACATAGTCCGGGGAACTATGTAATTCACTGGAGAGGTTGGCACTTCAGTGTATTGTGGAAGTGCAGAGGACAGAGGGCACAGCTCATGTAAGCAGGTAAGTAGGAGCTCTGCTGGCCTATGAATAAATATCTCATAGTTTAACATCTCTTCTGGTGAAGGGGCTGTCATCTTGTTGTCCAGTGGACAGTTTTTTTCTTTTTTTCTGTATCTCAGTCAATGGTTGCGCTAAAGCTTCCATGGTAAAGGATTCACTTTTACTCCTTAGCTCGTTTGCATACAGTGAAGAATGCAGCAATTATATTTATTTTCACAGTCTTACTTGCGGAGCAGAGAAGCTGGAGATGCAGATAGACTGGAGCTATTGATTGTGGATTGATTATATTCATACATCAAATGCAGAAGTGGCTTACTTCCAAGTGGTTGTGCCCTTTGTTGTGGCATTGTTTTTGTTCTTGGAAAAGGAAGCATCTGGTAGTGACGTGAGCCATTCCTTAAAAATAGTACTTTTGAGGTTAGGGATGTGGCCTTATGACAGTCAGCAATGCGAAAAAAAATCCTTGTGCTTCTGACCTGAAGCACTGATGAGGCGGCAGGGAGCCTGGATGAATTTTCTCCCTTTATGTGGTGCTTAGGCACTCTGTTTTCTTAATTAATGTGTTTTCTCTCTCTTCTTTCTCTGCCTATTTTAGGCAACAGAAATAGTCTGTGATCTGTTTGTATTCTGTGAGTGTTCCCCGTTGAGTGAAGCATGGTCTGCTCTTTTATTTACAATACCTAAAAAAGTGAATATACATTTTTATTCGTTTGCATTGTTAAAGTTGTCAGAATTGATGTCTTTCTCAGATCACTCTGCACTTGGTGTAATGAGACCTTTTTCTCTCTCTCTCTTTTTGCCTTTTAGGAACACCAGCCAAGATGACTGACTGTGGGCAAATGACAGCACCATTCCACGCAAATCCTTTGTAAATCAGGCTACCAGGGAGGAAGCCTTCTTGCGGAAGAGAGAGGCAAGTCCATCCCTGGATGTTCTTGTCAGGAAATGCAGACTTTGATTCTCGCTTTTTGTATAACCTGCAACAAGTAATTTCTTTACACTTGAGTATAAATTGAGACCAATTCTTTCCCTTTTTTGTGACAGTATCAGGTTGTTATGCAGAGGGTCAGTCCTAATATGAAAATAAACGTATCTTAAATTTGTGGACCATCCCAGCCCATTCCAAGTTGGAAGGGTTTAATTAAATCTCTGAGGATATCTTACTTGATGCAAACTGAAGATTTCATCCATATGTCTTCATTGAAAGGTCCTCTGTAGTTCAGCCTATGCAAGAATATTGGGTTTTACATAGTGGAGATGATGTGAAGTCTTGAAGGAATCTGTAAATATTACTTATTAATGGCCTCTATTAATAGAAAGGAAAGAAGCCAGTATTAAATTTTTCAGATTGGCAATGCATTCCAAATTGAAGTAAATTTGATTTGGCTGGCTGTACGTAAATGAAATGGATCAGCATCGCTGCTGCTCTGATGGTTCCCCCTGCTTTGCTTTGGTGGCACATTGCAGAGCTTGAACATAAAATTTATATGAAACTTTAGTACACTGTATTAAAAAAAAAGTAACACTCGGAGTGGAAGAGAAGAATGAAATTGAACACCGATATATGTGCTGGCTACTCAATTAGTTGACTATATTGTAACTTGACCATATCCCAACATGTAAAATGATTTCATTTTAGTTTTTGTCCTGTGTTGCTGGGTGACCCATTTATTTCTGTCCCACATTCATGCTGAGATAGTTAATATTAAATGGAGAGGGAGATGAGCCACAGTCTCCAGAAGAATATTTCACTGTTCTCCAAGGATTTTTTGTCCTTGTCACATATTCCACAGCTTCTGTACATGGCTGAGCTATTCTTGCTTGGCTGTGGTCAGATGAGGAAATTTGTTTTGGCCCATGCCATTTAGGCTTTTAAGAGAAAAAGCCTAAGGGGAAGATTTTAATCAATAACCCCCTACACCCCTGCATATCAATCAAATGCTTTCAGTACAGCCAAAAATGGGTTTGTGCAGCTGTGAAACACACTGGTGTTTTGCAAAGGACAGGCCAGCTCAGAGGTAGTTGCTGTGGCACAGCCTGTAGTGGATGGAAAGTCTCTTCAGCACCATGAGTTTGGAGCCCTGCCTTGGTCACAGGCTGCAGAGACTTCTGCAGCTTTTTTGCCTGTCACCCTTTTAGCAATCTCAGGGCAATGGGTGTTATTTCAAAATCTGGTATAACAACATGTTTATCTTTGAAGATGAATGCCATTCAGCAGCGTGTTGAGTTTCAGGTTTAAGTTAATGCTATTACGCATGTAGGGTACCTCTTTATTTATATTTTTTATGTTCTCTATTGTTCCTTTATGTTTGATCAGTCTGCCTGGCTTCAGTCCCCAAAAGCTATGGGGAATGACAGAGTAACAGATATCACTTACTTCACAAAATTGTGCTGGCTTTTTAGTACCACAGGCTACTGATACTGCAGACATCAGGGCATTAAGGGTGAATGATGAAAGGATGAATGCACTCAATTTTCATCAAGTAGTGGATTGTGTTGGCATGAGGTGCTCAGTGCTCTAGCTTTAGGATATCAATGTTAGCATCTTCTTGCTCCATATATTCTAACTCCAGGCATCTTGTCTGTAGGCAGATGTTGGCATCAAATGAGGAAAGAATATGAAGGAGGATAAGGTGAAAGTTGCAAGCCTATATCAAGCAGTAACACAAAAGCATCTACTGTGATAACTGGTAGCCCAAGAGAATTTAATTTTTTTCTTTCTGATGGAGCTAATCAGAAATGGTGATCCTGGTTCTGTCCCCCCAGTGAATGCAAGTTTACTTTACCCTCTGTTCTTCATGTCTATTTGCAACTCCCTTATTTTACTAGAACTTCTATTACTTCTATCTCTGTATGTTTTTATTTACAATATTCCCATTTTCTTTCCAGAACTGATGCAAATTAGCTTCTTGATGACAGTTTTTCTCTATGTTGATTTCTTTCCTTTGTAGAAGGATAAGTTTGAATGAAAAGAAAGCTGTACCTTTGTCTTTGTGCCTTCTCCTATTTTGTGTCACTTTGTTCTGCTAGACAAACTGTCTTTGATTTAGTAGTGTTGGAGTATAAGTGCATAATAGATTATCTGTCACAGGACCAAATCAATCATGGTTAACAGTATATCGACAGAATATATAGTAAGTACCCTTGACTTGAGGTTGAAAATACCTGTTATCAAGATCATGTAGTTCTTGCTGTTGCTTGCAATAAACTTTGAGATATAATATCCTTAACTGTTTTTTTCTTCTTGAATAAACACTGATTTTCTCTCTGAGTCTTTTTACCATAACTGATATAAGATTTCATATTCATTTCTGAAGCACAGAGGAGAAGCTGATTAGGCAAGTTTCAGAATTTAAAAGAACAGAGAGAAACTCCTGTGCTTTGTTCATCTCACTGCTACAAGGGTGAATCAGAGCTTGCTTCAAGATAAAGTTAGGTGGATTTTTTACGTACAGATAACTGTATACAAAGGAGAAAACAAAAATCCTTGTATGAACTCGTAGAGTGCAAAATACTTGTAACAGTAACATACCAAAAAAAAAAAAAAAAAAAAAGTGATATTGTTAAAGACATGGATTAATACTCCTCTAGACTAACCCAATGGGTGGCAATGAAATACTGCTCTTTAGTCATCCATCCCTTTTGAGCTTTTTCAAAGTGTGAGGGAGTCTGGGGAGCCGGGAGAGAGGGTGTTGGCTCAGGTGGCTACTCAGGTGAAAAGGTGGCTACTTTATCAAGTTTTTAACTTCCTTCAGACTTAAGGATGAAACCTAATTCTAGGTATTCTTTTATTTTGTTCTTCCTTACTGAGCTGTTTTAAGCTGTGTTCTGGTTTAGCTCTGACTAAATTATGGCAAGGCTGATGATTAAAAAGCAAGCAATACAAACTCTGGTTATGTTGTAGCTACAAAACAGAGCTGTAGCTGTGTGTTAAATGTGTTTGTATGTGTTTAAATGACTTTTGTTAATACAGAGTGTATTTTCTTACAAGGGAGATGTAAACTGTGGTCATAGACATTTAACTCTTGTTAATTTTTTCTCTTAAATCAAAATTATGGAGTCTCTAAATTGAAAGTCTTTCTGGCTGGGCAGGGAATTGAAAAAAAAACAGTTGTGCTGAGCAAAGAGCAGCATAGCACAGGCAGTGAAGACATGTCAAGAGAATAAGAGAATAGAGAGGCTGGGAGGAGTTTGCTGTACTTTGTAGATGAATAGCCCCATCACCACTGAAATACTGTCTCAAACTCCAGGGGTTCTCAGGTGACACCATCATTGCAGCCTTCACGCCTGCAGCTGCTACTCTGTCTCGTGGCAAGTTTCATATTTTTGTTTTTCTTTTCTGTTCCCTTTCTATTACAGTTGAATATTCTCTGCTCTTAACATCTGCTGAAGCTTCCCAGTAGTGGCAGTGGAAAGCAGCTGATTATGGAGAAGCTAATTGGGCTGCTGGGATCCCCAGTATAAAGTCCAGTGGAGAGGGGAAATGTGCAGAGATTAGAGGTGCTGCTTTTGCTGTTGTTGTTATTTTTTTCCCTGTGGTGGTTAAATATCAAGGCTTTTAGCAACTTCAGTTCCAGCTGGGTCATTGGGATTCTGAACTACGTACTCCAGCATAGCTTATGGATTTTAAACCTGTCACATTGTACTTCTATTATAGATAGAGTCCTGCACTTGCAACCTGTTTTCTTGATCTTTTGCCAGCAAAGGCTTTTGTTGCAGTCCTTGGAAGATATACTGTAGCAGTTCCCTTTTATAATATCTATCATTAACACTTCTTTAGCATCTGTAAGAGTTTCTTCTTTGCTGGAGACTGGAGCAGTTGATTAAGCAGCCTTTTGCTGTCCTCAGGCAATTTCTCAGATATCCACCTTATTTCAAATCTCCCTTTCCTAGCAAAGGTCCTGGAAAAGGTTGTGGCAGGGCAGCTGCGGCCCTTACCTTCGTGGTAATAATACACTGTTTGAAAAATTTCAATCAGGCCAAAGCAGTGAGACAGCTTTAATGAGGATTTGTAGTGACCTTCTGCTTTATAGTTAGGTGGTTCTGGCACATTGTCAATTTTAATTCTTACTGATCTTCCTGTGGCTTTTGATAGGAGAGATCATAGGTTTCCCTTAAAACACTTGTAGGAGATCCTGAGCCTCGTGGGCACTGCTCTGACATTGTTTCATTAGTATTTACCTCGGCCGTGCCACTGTAAATATGTCACCCGCTGGTCTTGCCCCTGGGAATTAGCAGGTTCCCCAAGGCTATGCACTGGGCGGTTCCTGGCTCCCTGTGTCCCTGCTGCTGCTGCCACTTGCCCCTGGGCCACTTGCCCACGTTCATGGCCTGGGGAAGGTGCTTGCACGTACCCAGGTATTTCTGTGTGGATGGCAGCAGTGCTTGCCCACTGAAATCGCGTTGCATTCAGTGTTGCAAAGATAAAGGCAAATAAAAGGGGGCTATGACTGGCTGCTTTCTCCTTTCAGTAGAATCACATTGTTTTAGGCTGGATTTGGTGTTTTTAACCAGAGAGGTATTCTAGGCATGTAGCAGATATCTGGTCAGTTGTATAATACATGAGAAGCATTTCTGGGTGACACTAGGCAATGTAAATTGACTTATTTGAGGTGGCAATGAGAATAAGACTTGCAGGTGGGAGAAGTCTGGTAAATAATCTAGTTTTCCTGTCTATGAAGAACTTTCCCTTCGGCACTTTCATTTTTCATAGAGAGGGGGGGCTTTTTTATTGTTCATCTAATGGCCTTATTTTTTTCCTTTATTCCATGTCATTCTTTTAATGTCTTGGTGCAGAGTTAATTTCAGATTGGAGCTGCCTGTAGCTGGGAAATAGCTGCCTTTGGACTATGGACTTCTGTTTGTGGAAGTCTCATGATTCATTTCATCCTTAAGT